CATCATCATCATCTCTGTCTTCCTCAATGTCATCTATGCGCCGCCGTTTTGCTGTAAAGGAAAAAGTCAAAGCTATTACAACTCAGTACAGAAAATACATAGGAACTGAGTCCATATTTGAAGAAGTAATGTTTTTATATTGAGTCAGGAGGGAAGTAAATTTTAAAACCAATGCTTGTCTATAGCCATAAGAAAATATAAATTTATAATATGCCTGCTAGATTAATAAAATCGTGTGGCAACAAAAATATCAGTCATATGAAGGATTTATGAAAATGTTCCTCAATTGACTGCTTAACCTATATCCACTTCCATGCTGACTTCTATTTAAAGACATCTTCTTCTGTTTGTCATATATCTATGATTACACAGCATTTCTACTGCTGAAGGACACAAAGAGATGGTGTGACAGGTTTGTTTTATTTATCTTGTCAATCAAAATAAATTCACACAAGGAAGAGCTAGTATATTTAAAGGATGTAAATTGTGTGTAGGAAGAACTTCCTAATATTTACAAGACTGTGTTCTTACCTCACGGAAGAAACACTAGCTCAACAAGAAATAAAAGCAAATATTAAAAGCAATTACCTTCAGTATAGTTAATTTTTAGTTTCTGAATGATCAGATAAATTCTCACACTCTGTATAACAGAATATATTGTGACATGGCACTGAAAGAGCTGCCAGCTCACACTGGAGGGAAGGGGTTGCCTAATTCCCCTCCTTAGCTAGTGGATGCGGGCTGTGGGTGTAGCTGCCACACAATGTTCCAGATGCTGTATTCCCCTCCTTAGCAGAACTTTCAAGTAAGCGTACCTTCAAGATCCTTGTCTGGAAGATTCCACAGAAGGGCTGACAGCTATAAAGAGTCGCCCCTCACCGAGTGTAGCAAGTGGTTGGCAAATCAAGCGAAGAGTGCGGAATAGCAGAGTGAAGTCTTGTGTGGGTCTATAGTGAAATGTAATCTGACAAGAGTGTTGAGTGCGTGAAAGCAAGGAGCCATCGAGCGGTCTCGCGGGACGCTGAGAGCTGAGGATTATGTGTGTATAAGGAGCACTGGGTTTGTGGACGGGAGCAGCTGAGGAGCCAGCATGTGTACAGTGTGGTGCTGTGAGAGCCAAAGGCTGTGAGTGTGGAGCACCAGGTTTGTGGACTGTGGCAGCCGAGCAGCCAGCATGTGTCCAGTGGGGTACTGAGGGCCAAAGTCTGCGTGTGAGGAGTACCGGGTTCATGGACCATGGCGGCTAAAGAGCCAGCATGTGTTCAGTGGGGGTGCTGAGAGCTGAAGGCTGCATGTGGAGAACACCAGGTTTGTGGACTGTTTGTGGCTGAGGAGCCAGAGTCTGTCCAGTGCGGTGCTGAAGGCTAAGTGTGTGGAGAGCACCGGATTTGTGGACTGTGGCGGCTGCAGAGCCAGCGTGTCCAGTGCGGTGCTACGGACCGAGGGCTGTGTGCGTGTGCGGAGAGCGCCAAGCTTGGGGAGTAGGATGGGTGTGTGAGAGAAGTGTGTGTGTGTGTGTGTGTGTGTGTGTGTGTGTGTGTTGTGTCATGTGTAGAGACAGAGACCTAGAAACTGTATTAGGATAATTGCCTGTATGTGTAGACTCTGTGAACTGATTCTCAATAAATCAAGGTTGACAAAGAGCCCATAGCAATAGTCGAGGTGTCAACGTCACAATATTTTATATGAAATTAGATAATAATTCCTCTTAGATAGCAGAAAACAGGACAGAGAGATGGCATTATTTTGCATTGTTTGTATTTTCATAATTATTTTATTTTTAAGCATATTATGAATAACTTTGG